ATGAGAGATTAAAATGCATGTGTCGTATCAGTTTAGGTCATCGTGCACAATGAATGCATGGATCCGATGCAAGCAAATCAACGCAATACAGGCATCACACATGAAGCAAGCACTTCAGCTCCTTAGTCAGACATATGATCGCAGCACTTCCAACCATGCCCTGGTCACCTCAATAGCGAGACGTGAAGACTTCGTAGATCATGTGAGTTTTTCGACAAAATTGTAGTGCTTTTTTAATCTAGCTGCTATAGGCAACATTAAAAGAGGCTCTCGTGCAGTGCCACGATTGCCGGCCTAATGCTGATTGTACTAACATTGTCGTCACAGGTGAAATTAATGAATTAGTGTGGTTTTAATGTTGGGTGTTGCATTAATTAAATTGATGGCAACCTGTACAGTATGGCTGGTAATTCAAGTAGTAATGGGTTAGTCATCTTTATCTCATTTGTGAAGAAAGGTTGGATGAAAACAGCTTGTATACCTTTCTCTTATGTTGATGATAATAACCTTTCTACTTGGAAAAGGTTTCTACATGCATACGAAGCTACAATAGTCAGCCCTGTCCATAGCTGTACAAGGTTTGCAAGTTCTACCTGCGAACCAATCGCTGCACTATAACACGCTAAAAAAGAAAACCGAAGAGCACCTGCAAGTGCTTTATATGGCAGTCTATTTGCGAACATATTCAACTCATACTTAGTGGAAGTGCAGCAGCACATCGTAGCCGCATGAATTAAGATGTGTAACCCTGGGCATGAGGAAGGTCAAGCTGGTTTGCTTGGTGGTCCAGACACGACTACCTGGTCTAGAGGCACAAGCGACAACATGGCCAACATTCCAGATTTGTTTAAAAGAAATAAGCGGACCATCTCTTCCTCAGAGTGTAAGCATGTAAACATTTAATATCCAGTGCAAGGGTATAGTTAGCACAGAAGCTTAACGTGGCATGCATAGCACGTACATAAATGACTTTTTGTTAACTTTTTCATATAAGGCGATCAATAATGTGCTGCATGAAAACTGAAAATTGCATACGCAAGTTGGATCGCATTCTTGATTTTAGCAGCGCACTGAAAGATCCTCGTCCCTCAGAGCACTGCTGAAATCAATAACAACAATGTACTGTCTGCGACACAAGTTAACAAGTTTCTCCTAAGCACATATTGGACTGATCTTCCTGAATGCCGCCTCCTTTGATTTCGAATGTTTGATTATCCTCGCAGAATAGGACATTTATACGCTTGTTCAACAATCGATGCACTTTCTTGCCGAGACGTACAAGGACACACAAAACTCCAGGCCCGTAAGCGAAAACGATGCAACTGACTGCATCGTTTCCTCCGCCACTGGGTAAGCAATGCTGTTCACGCTATTTATTGTGTGAGGGCTGGGCGGGCTAGGCATGAAGGCTGAGAGGCGTTGTGAACGAGGAGAATGCGCTTTATTCGAACATGAAAACGTGCCGACCGCGCCGGAGGCGGGAGCGAGATTGATAAAAACGTGTCCCCGGCCCTCGCTTGGGCTTGGAGTTTATCTGAGTAAAGGCGCCGCAGGTGGCGCATGCGCACTATAGCGTAGCGGCCTATCTAATCGGCAGCGCCACCTGCGGCGCCTTTACTCAGATAAACTCCCAGCCCAAGCGAGGGCCGGGGACACGTTTTATCAATCTCGCTCCCGCCTCCGGCGCGGTCGGCACGTTTTCATGTTCGAATAAAGCGCATTCTCCTCGTTCACAACGCCTCTCTCATCTGGGCCTGGGAGTGGCATTCGCTGGAGGCCTGCTGAGCTGTGGTGTCCAGATACATGGTAATTGAAAGATGACCCCTGGATCATAACAGCGTTCGACATCCTGGGCAACAGTCGCTCATAGCACCGCACACTTGTTCCTGTGGTGGGATGACGAATTTCAGTTGGCATGGGTGGCTGGAACACCAACTGTGCGTGACTGGCAGCAAACCAGTCTTCCCCCAATATAAGTGGCATGGCATTGTTATCGAGGACGGCGGCTTCCACCAAACCGGTGATGGGTCCCACAGAGATCTTCAAGCAGATAGCACCAGCAGGAGCCACTGTCGTTCCTCCAACGACAACTAGAGGGGGTCTGGTCCAGGGCAGGAGGGGCAAAGATCTGACAAGGTGACGAGAAACAAGTGTCACCTTGGAACCACTGTCTGGAAATGCGTCCACTTGGCCGCTTCCAGCAATTGTGGCGTTTACAAGGGCGCATTGGACCAGCGATCCATCAAGGGTCTCGGAAAGTGTGCTGTGAAGAGCTGGCGAAGGATGCGTTGTAGACTGTGTGGCAGTAGCTCTGGATGGGCACTTTGAAGCTAGATGTCCTTTTTGGCGGCATTGAAAACACACGGCTTCGGCCAAGTTCTGGCCAGAACGGTAGGCAGGAGCGCCGTGCCTCGTAGAGATGGTCAGGTACCGAGCCTCTTGTTGGTCTGGTGGTAGGGCTGCGATTCGCTGCGGCTGTCTTGTTTTGTCTGGTACCGCCTGAACATTCGTGCCCTCTTCACTGTGGTGGGGCACCTGTGGGCTTGGCATTACTAGTTTGGTGCTTGAATACCCTGGGCGTGGGAGTCGACGAGACAAGTGGCTCAATGTTTGGTCAAGCTGCGTTACGATGTCCATATAGGCGGCGACGGTTTCTGGCCGTTGTGCTGCTATAGTAGTGGCCAGGTTCTCGTCGGAAATGCCCTGAAGGGCGTACTCTATGCGCTGAGTGTCGGTAAGAGTGACTGGGCATCCCGAAATGAGCTTCAACTTCGCCAAAGAATAGTGGACCAGGTTCTCTCCGTGCGCTTGCACGCGACAAGTAACAGCTTGTTGCCACTGTAGTAAGGTTTGCTTGGCGCTGAATTGATCCAAGAAAGCTTGCCTGAAGGCGTCCCAGGTGGGACACTGACGGCCAATGACTGCTTTCCAATCCGCGGCTGCTCCACGGAGCTTTCCCAGAGCGACGGCGAGTACGGTTGAAGGCTCCCACGAAGCTAGGTTTCGAGTTCGTTCCAACTCTTCAATCCAGTGGGACGCTGAAATGCTGCCGTCTCCATTAAATGTAGGAAGCGATGCGGACAGGTCTGGAAGGGTCGTGACCTGAACTGGCGCTGCAGCGCGTTGTGACACTTGAAGGAGCTGTTGAAGTAAACCCGTCAGCAACTCGGTACTTTGGGCTGCATCGAAGCTCGAAGGAAGCGGCGTAGTGTTCGGGCGCTGGCTGGACGCTGAGGAATCTGGGGAAGGCGACAAAGGCGTCATTGAGCGGTTTTGGGCTATATCGGCGAGGAGACGATTGATCACTTCTTCCTTCGGCCCCGTAGCGTCCAGGTTTCGGCGAACCAACTCTTCACGGAGGAAGTCTGCTGTAAAGCCGGCGAGGTCCTCAGGCGTAGCCTCGTTCCAGTTCACAAGCGGCATGGCGTTCACAAGAAATTAGCAGAAGGAGCACAAGACTCACGAGAGACGAAAAAGGCGGGCAGGTCAAGTTGGTTCGGCTCTGCAGGCGAGCTACTTCATCGGGCGGGTGGGCGTCAGCACGACGGTCGGCGAAACAAAAGGCAAAGGCACGAAATGACTCGGACGAAGCGGCCGAAAGGCGTATCGGGCGGCGGACGGTAAACACAGGACGGAGCGCCGCGCGGCTAGTCCGGCGGATCACTTCACGAGGCGGGCAAAAGGCGACGTTCCAGGCATGGTTCGGAGTCGACTGCGCCAGTTGTGAGGGCTGGGCGGGCTAGGCATGAAGGCTGAGAGGCGTTGTGAACGAGGAGAATGCGCTTTATTCGAACATGAAAACGTGCCGACCGCGCCGGAGGCGGGAGCGAGATTGATAAAAACGTGTCCCCGGCCCTCGCTTGGGCTTGGAGTTTATCTGAGTAAAGGCGCCGCAGGTGGCGCTGCCGATTAGATAGGCCGCTACGCTATAGTGCGCATGCGGGCGCTCACAATTGAGGCTCTGATGACAGAAAAACGCGCCGCAGTAGACGTGGTACTAGAACAGCGTCACTGGACGCATTGATTTCGCGAACGAAAGGCAAGCATGCCCATTAATTTGACACCAGACCACCGATTTCCTCTCTGTCTACAAAAGAAACACTCTGTCGACAGGCAAGGATGCACATTAATTTGACGCCAGACCACCGATTTCCTCTCGGTCTATCAAAGAAACACTCTGTTGACGTTGCAATGCAGATTTATCACACCCTGTTCGGCGAATGCTGTTGACATGGCACATTGCGATGTAGAACGTACACATGTACTGTACAATATTGTGTGCGATACTGTACGTATGTGTACTGTATGTGTACAATACTGTACACATGTACTGTATTAGGGTAGTCGTAGGATCAAAATACGCTCCAAACCGAAACCAGGGGCAAACCCACTGCACCCTCGAGCACAGAACAAACAATCAACTTATTTTCCTTTTAATAATACTTATAAACCAACAAATAATTTATTAGGTTGTTAAATTGAGCAATATATACTAATATTACAAAAACAATATACAAAAACAAATATTTTTATTCAATACGTTAATAATTAATTTATGCACTATAAAAAACACGTTACACACTTGTTTAATGACAATTTTGTAAGTTTATTGCATTATAAAGTAATTATTTGCACATTTAAATAGCTTTACGTTAATTTTTTTAAAGTGACGTCACTTCCGTGCGGCGCAGCAGCTAGTTCTGTGTGGGGATGGCTGGAGCGCCGCGCGGCGCACGAGACGCTGCCTATTTTTTATTACGTTTGTTATTAAACAAGTGTTGCGCCATCTTCTGACAAAAAAAAAAGCTTTTACTGCAATACTTGAAACAAATTCATAAGATTTTGTTTTACAAATATTTTATAGGTAACGCGGCATTTTTTTTTAAACTACATAGTTGTTAAAACGTATTTGTGAAATGAGGTTCTCATTCTTACAAAGGTACTGGCTTAATAATCGTGCTTCACGTTTTGAAGTTTCGTGCTAACCCACCTGCGTGCGCGGCAGCTTGGCCCTTGCTGTGAGGTGAAGCTTGCGGAGTTTCTGTTCACGAGTTTCTTGAGGACCGCTCGTCCAGCGCAAGCAGCTGGATCGTCACATTTCGGCCCGTAGGCATCGGACGGTCGCGGCGAGAGTTGCCTTAAAACTGCCCAACATGGGTACGTGCCTCGTGCAACTTTTCACGTTCACTCGTGCAGTTTCCTTTTCACGTAGCCGCGTTCTGATCGATACAGTTGGGGTCAGTTTAGGGTGTAGTCATTTCCTAACCGAAAGAATCGCTGCTGTGACCGCATCCTTTGAATAGTTTTTGTTTCGTTAGCGTTACGTCTCTCCTCTCTACGCACACGTGTAGGTTGATCAGCTTCTTGCTTTAACGTGTTCCAGTTATATTGGCGATCATTTAAATCGGACGGGAGGTAAAAAGTTTCGGCTCTGTTAAAGATCGCACCTACAGCTCGAACGCCTGGCCGGCGTGCAGAGTACGTGGTGCGTAGATTGGCTTCTAACTGGCAATTTAAGCTTGGGCATATACGTAAAGGCATCAATATGACATACCATGCAATTTTTATTTTCGTCAACGTTTCCGCATGCTTCCGGCCCAGTTTCTTTCGCGTGCGCCGAATTTTTTCGCCGTTTTCTTCTTTTCGGTCGAGCGACCTACATTTCTGGCGTCGCTGTCCACGAAAATGCAGCTCTGCAGGCAATTGTCTGCCTTGACAGCGCTGCGGCACATGATGATCGAAAACAGCTGTTCATGCAGCTCGGCTGCCTTTTGGAATGGGCACGTACTGTGAACGAAGGAGATTTGACGATCTGCACAACTTTGCGAACGCACTCTAATTTTTAAACTATAAATAACATATTCACGATATAATTGTTAATGACAACGTAGCACTTCGTACGCCGCGATTTGTTCTGATAGTTGAGTGAATCTGTTAATTCAGCGTTCATGCAGGCGTTGAACTTGACTGCCCACGGTGTTAATGCGCGCTTCCTTAGTGATATAGTTCTCGCGATCGTGATCCGTGATTTTGCATTTATTTCTCTTTTGCAAAAGAAAAACGAAAAAATGCATTTCATTGTAACTACTTTTGTGACACTTGTGTACGAAGGAAGTAAAATCATTTTAACTAAAAGCTGTGAATCCCGAAATAGTCTCCTTTCGTGCTACAGTTTTCGGGGAGAAGAAACATCACAGCGACGTTGCAGCGTTGTCAGGAAATAATAGTAATGATAAAAAAAAGGGGGGGGGGGGGGGGAGCGAACACAAAATGATTGGGAAAACGCGCAACACCGGTTCTTGGGACAAGAGTTCTCTTCGTGGCATTGCTGGGCTATCGTGCGGGGAAGCCCACTTTAGAAGTTTGCGTGCACCCTCGTGTTCGAAATTGTTCGAAAGTGCGCCCTGCTGAACAATACATCGACATTTCTTGGGGTGGAATGGGTGGATTATTGAGAAGCACATGCGTGATGCGCCGTTCGTGCTACACTCGCGTTTCAGATAAGATTAATCGTAATTGCCGTGTCACGTATATTAATTCCTCTTGTATTACAATTTGCAGTTAGCATCTTGCAGAAGTACTTTGGCGATATATTATTGGCTGGAGGTTTGTTTAGTTAACTTGCATATCTTACTCAAAGTGCCTCAATTGCTTAATGCACAGGAAACCGAATATCGAGGCAAGTGAGTTGAAGGTTGGTGATATAATGTGAATTTCAAAATAAGTCAAAATCATTTTTACCGCAAAGTGCAAGTTCAACACGGGACGTACAGGAACACAGCGAAAAATAAGTGCTAAGTCGCAACTGTATTTATCGCCAAACAACTTTCCACACACAAACACACACACACACACACACACACACACATATATATATATATATATATATATATATATATATATATATATATATATATATATATATATATATATATATATATATATATATATATATACACATTCGGCATGCGCAATTGCATTTTGCCCAAAAAAGGCATCATTAGAACTCGGATTATAAAACATCAAATCTAAAAATTTTTCTCTTTGTTCAACACCACCACAGATGTATTGCTGATGTGATCACTTCCTTTCTTTCTGGTATGATACGGTTCGGAAAGTTCTGTCCAAAAAGAAAATTATTTGGTGTTTGTAGTAATGTATGTAAAAAAAAAGACACCTAATGATGAAAGTCATGAGTATTTGAAAACAAGAAGCTAAGGTCAGCAGAACTTTACAGATTATCCCAGTGTATATTCTCATATAAAAAGGGCAGGTATCGCAGATATAGTGAACAGAAGCATACAAAACTACGACAATCTGATCAGAAGTGCAAGTGAGTGCAATCAGAGTCGGCTGAAAATGTGTAACACAAAGGACGTGTACTTGAAGAAGTATTAATAAAAAAACATGGAGCTACCTCAAACATTACTTTTGTGTTGATTGTGATTGATGTCGTACACTATTTTATGGCTCTTAATGCTAACAATGTGAATGAAAGTTGGGCGAAAATATTGGTTTTCTTTAGCAGATTACAAAATTTTTTTTTCTGCGAGCAAATGTTTTTACCTTTAAAGAGTTTTTTTGTCTGGTGTGACGCCAAATTTTTTATGTTTTTTTTTTTGATAAACACATGCCAGACCTCAAACATTATTTTAAGATGCGAGGATGTGAGATGTGAAGCTCTGAGAAGGCCCATCTTGCTTAAAGCACATGGTACTCTCTATTCTTTCTTTTAAACTACCGAGTTTTTCGAGAAATGTGCCACAACCCTCGAAAAGCAGGTAAATGACATATTTGTTGGATGCCTTCACAATTACTTTTTCTGTAGGCACAGGCATCTCGAGACGTCTGAGCGCATCATTTGAGACAGTCTTTAGGAAAGCCGCAGCTAGTCGCGGGATTGAATCCCGACTGCGGAGGCTGCATTTCCGATGGAGGCGGAAATGTGGTAGGCCCGTGTGTTGAGATTTGGGCGCACGTTAAGGAACCCCAGGTAGTCAAAATTTCCGGAGCCCTCCACTATGGCGTCTCTCATAATCATATGGTGGTTTTGGGACGTTAAACCCCACATATCTATCAGTCTTTAAGAAAGTAAAGCCAACTTTTCATTTACTGGAGTTAGGGAGAAATGTCAAATGGGAGAATTGAAGTTCTTCCATGTTTTTTTTTATTTAAACCCAGTGCAGCTTTTCAAGATTTCAAAAAAGTGGTCTTTAGTAATAGTTATGAAGTAATGAGATTCAACTGAAAAAAGGGGTGAAGCTGAAATTCAAAAGAGTGCAGCTGCCATAATTTTCCAAGACGTCCAGAATTAGTGAGCGTCATTATCTCAACAACCGACTATATTGTGTGCGGGTTGGCATGTCTCGTGCACGTACATCAACAAGTGCAAAAGAACTATGCCTTTGTAGTCTGTCTTGAACAGTGATGCCCTTAGAAGGACACTAAAGAGCAAAAAGGTTCTTTGTTCATTCATCCCCGCAGGGGCGCCTGCGCAAGTAGGCGTTTGGTGTGTAGTGGCACCACGGACCCGAGCTAACGGGGGAGTTTCTACTCCCTCCCATGCCTAGCCGTGCAAGGATTTGCCGTGTCCGGGGAAAAGGGGATCCTGGGGGTTGAGCCGACGCTGGGTAATTGGACCTTTAAGGCCCCCCGGCAGAGGTAACACACCCCTTTGGCCCCGGCTTCACGTAGACGGCACCCCTGGGCTGACCCACCCAGGGGAAATCGGTAGTCGCCTTTTCCTATTTCTCTCTCTCTCTACATCTTAGTCTTTTTTCGTCTTTAAATCTATCCTGTCTTCTTCTCTCTTCCATTTACTTCCGATTTTTCCTGGCGGCAAGGGTTAACCCTGTGTGGCTATCCTACCTTGGATACACCATATTCGGTTATAGTGGTGGCGTACAGCTGGCGTCTGCGGGGCCTGTACTTACAGACCCTCCAGCGTCCCCTTGTAGGACTCCATGGTGGGTGGCTGGCGTCGCTGCCGAAAGTAAGCATTTACATATGGCTTGTTCCTTCCCCCCACTCCCTGATCGCCCTCAGAAAAGAGGGCGCACCGATGAAGTTTTCCAGTTTTTTGGTAACCAGAAAGTATCTTTTCCCCGATTTCATGTTATTCACGCTGACACACCCGGCAAATCAGTGCGAACACTTTCACCTTTTCTAGTATCAAAGTCTTTGACGGAAATCTTTGGCCCAGGATATAAAGCTTCGAGAATGGCAAGTGGTGACCTCCTGTTGGAGCTCCGCGACCAGAAACAATATGAAAAATTGCCTAACCTTGTGAAATTTCGAGATACCAAATTAATAGTAACCCCACACAGAACCATGAACACCACCCGTGGCGTTGTCTCAGATGATGACCTGTTAGGGCTGACGGAGACTGAACTCCTGGAGGGTTTCAGCGAACAGAATGTCATAAACGTAAAACGAATCAGCATGAGGCGTGATGCCAAAGAAGTCCACACTAAACACCTGATACTTACCTTCAATTCAAGTGTACTGCCCGACTCCGTTGAGGCTGGGTATATCAAGCTTCGAGTTAGGCCATATATACCAAACCCCCTCCGATGTTTTAAATGCCAACGATTCGGCCACAGTTCACAGAAATGCCGAGGCCGCCTAACTTGCGCGAAATGCAGTGCTGAAGAGCACACATCAGATGCCTGTGAAAACTCTCTTCACTGTGCGAACTGTAATGGGGAACATGCCGCATACTCGCGGTCATGCCCGTGCTGGAAAAAGGAAAAGGAAATTGTCACAATTAAGGTAAAACAAAATATTTCATTTAAGGAGGCACGAAGGCAGGTGTCCTGCCTACCAGAAACTAGCTTTGCCGAAGTGGCGCGTCAGGGGGCAGCGCGACGACGGCCCCTGGCGCCTGTCTGGCACACGCGTAGTGAGCCAGCGGTGACGCCATTCGCCCCCTCGGCGGTTGCAGCCAGTGCTGCTCCGCCATCCAAGAAAGACCCACCAACCTCTGGGCTGGGGGCCCCGAAGGTCTCGTCTTTTGAGGCGAGGCCCTCAAAACAAATGCAGCGCTCGCAAGAGCGCCTGTCCAGCGCCTCGCAAGAGGCAATGAACGCAACACCGAGCGTGAGGGCGCAGCCAGCGCCCAAGGATCGGCGCGACTCCGTCGACCGATCTAAAAAAGA